GTTCCTCAGAACACTCGTTTTTTCATTGTGCCCCATTACGACCCCCCTTAAATTTCATCCGATCGAGCTCAAAATTTTACCATAGATACTTAAGGTCATTCCGCAGGGCTAATTTTTGGGAAATTTTTTTATTTCCTGGTCGAGTTAAAGGAAAAATACTGAAAAACCAAGTTTCAATTTAAAAACCCTATAATGAATAAAAACGTGATTCTAATAATTTATCGATCAATGTACTTGTATAAAATGGTCCAAGAACGTTACATGCAATTGCTCTTGATTTTGTGTTTGATTTAGCAACTGACGATGATGATTCAAATATAGTTTTAGCAACGTTAATTGTACATTCTTGTGAAACATAACTATGACCGTGTTTAACACCATGATAAACAAATGCACCTTCAGCTGCGGAAATTTTATCTAATTCAGCCGACGATGTTATTAATGGGTTCTTACCAAATGTTTTCGTTGATAACTGATGTATATTTCTCCTCATATGCTTATCAACATCAGCTTTTTCGCCATTTTTTACAGAAAATTGTTTCGAACATGCTTTACAGTCTTGTTGAATTTCATTTCACTTCTTTTAACCACGATGAATATTTTTTTAATGATAACCAGTCTTTACGAAAAACACCTTTTATCTTTCGATGAGTGACTGGATTTTGTTTCTGTGTTGCTACTACATGCTTTCCCTCTTCAATGGAATTCTGTTCATTATCACTATTAGCTGTTTCATTTACTTCTAAATTGACGTCAGTCTCTACGTAGTCCGACGATTCAGTGATCAATTTTATTATAGCTTAAATATACAGTTCATTATATACAAAACTATTCTTCTTGAAGATCGTACGGTACGATGTGTGGTGCGAATCGTATCACACATTGTTCAACGATTCTAAGGAAAAATGGAATTTTGTCCACTATCTGAAGATGGTGTCCGTATCGACTAAAAAAAAGTAAGCTGCCTATTCCGTGAACAAGAATTTCAACTCTAGTAAGTAGGTTCGAACCACGAGACACTGCGCTACCAATATATACATCTTGGATATATTGTCATATATATTATCTTGGAAAAAGTTCAATAACCTAGTGAAAATTGATTTTATGTCAAAAAGT